AGACAGCACACACACACACACACACACACACACAACCATCCTCCAGCCCCAACGAGAACAATAAAACATGCATGAGCATAAAAAACAAAAAAAATGAAAAACCGAATCGACTCACCTTACACCGGCGCCAACCAATCAACAAGGCATCTGTGGGGGGTCGAGAGAAAAAGATGGAGACCAAGGAAAGGCAAGAAAGGGGGAGGAGGAGCAAAGGATGAGGAAGGGGGGGGAAAGAAAGGGAGAGGGAGGAGGGATAAACACAGGGAAAGTCAAGGCAAGGAGTATTCTTCCTTCCTCCCCCCCACCCGCCCCCCTACCTTTTGCCGTTCTTTGCCTCCGCCTTCTTATCTGTCCTTGATTGGTTGGCGGCATTTTACTCCGAGATAAGTCGGCTAATTAATATATATATTTCGATGATTGTTTTCTCTGGGAGGGGGGAGGGTCTAAGGGAGGGGGGGGTGGGTGGGGGGGGTAGGGAGGATAGCATCACATCTTTCTTGGGGGGGTGCCGAAGCTTTGGATTTGCGAGCTCTGATTGAGGTTTTTCAAAAAAAATTATGCTCATAGATGATGATTAGTCGATTGATTGATCAGTTGATTGGTCGACTGGTTGATAGATTGATTGGTTGATTGGTTGATTGGTTGATTGGTTGATTGATTGATTGGATTTCCGAAGTTGAAGCGTGCACAATATGAAACGGGAAACAAGGAGAGATAGGAAGAGGGGGGGAAGAAGGGCCGTGTACTGCATACAGCCCCGTGTGTTTGCTCCTTGGCAATGGCGCAGTTTATCTCCGTGTTTTTCTTTTTTTTTTAATCCCTGTGTTTTTTCCTTTCCTTGCCGCTTCCAAAAAAAAAAAATCACGTTCCAGAGAGAGAGAGACACACACACACACACACACAAAGAGAGAGAGAGAGACAGAGAGAGAGAGAGAGAGAGAGAGAAAGAGAGAGAGAGAGAGAAAGGACAAGAGAGAGAGAGAAAGAGAGAGGACGAGAGAGAGAGAGTGAGAGAGAGAGAGAGAGGGAGAGAGGGAGAGAGAGAGAGACAGAGACAGAGACAGAGAGAGAGCGAGAGAGAGAGAGAGAGAGGGAGTAGGGCATACAGCATCAACATGAGAATGGAGAAAAAAACAATACACCGATGAAAATTACGCCAAAACACACATGTATGAAAAGAGCAAACCCAAAAAAAAAAAAAAAACACAGAGAAAACCATCTATCAAGCCAAGCGCTCCATGTCGTTAGAAGGGGGTAAAAAAAGAGGGGGAAAGAATATTACGACAAAAGAGGGGGGAAAAAACGCGCGTATCCTGTGGTTAGCGGGTCAACGGATCCCCTCTCCAGTCAGCCAGATTGAAAAAAGAGTCTCGCTCTTTTTTTTTTTTTTTTTTTTTTTTCCTTGGTCATCTGTAATTACTAATTAGGGTTTGTTATCAGCCATAAAAAATCTCCCCCTCCCCCCCCCAACCCTGCTCTTAGTCTTCTTTCATTAGGGTTTGTTTGTTTATTTCGGGGAAAAAAAAAAAAAATGCCTGTAAATGGTCGTCACTGCTATGAAGTGTGCTATCAACATAGGTCTTGGCGCCTCCTCGCC